TGGATATTGGTTTGCCTCATTCCCCAGTCCCTTCAGTGCTTGCTCAGTTGTGCTACATTCTGGGAGAATTCCCTCAGCTTCTTTCCAAATCAGTTTTTCAGTCATTAGTAGTATCTATTCTGCTACTCAACCCATCTATTAAGCAAAAGTAATCTTATTTTTAATGTCTAAGAACTACCTTTGTTGTAGCAACCTGTTCTTAGTGCAATAGATGAAATTGCCTCATCAGTCTCTTAGAGAATATTACTTATAAATTTTCTTTTATTTTATTCCTACAGGGATTCATTCTTACTTGTTGGATTTGGTTCCTCTCTGGCAGTAGGTGTCCCTCAAATGTTTAATGCTTGGTTGTCTGTTCATTATTTTCATTTATGAATTCTTGCTTACCTGTGGGTGAATCTTAGTTCTAATTATGGTGTCTTGTCTCTGATTGTTGGGGAGGGTGGTGGGTGGGAAGGAGGCAGGAGGGATGTGTGCTAAGTTCCCTAGCGCTCTGCCCTGTCATTATTCTTTTTTGTCGTTTGTTTGTTTTGTTTTGATGGCTGGCCAGCACAGGTATCAAACCCTGAACCTTAGAGTTACTAGCACCATGCTCTAACCAACTGAACTAACTGACCATCAGAATTCTTTTTATGAGGTCTAAGCTCTTGGCTTTGACCAGAGTTCAGTGCCACATCAGCTGCTCCCTTAGGTTGTTTTACTCTGATGCCCTTAGGGAATATGAAATTATTTCAGGTTCTATTCTTTTTCTCTCCAATCTTCTACTTTAACCCCTCTTACTGCTGAGCCTCAATAACAAGAAAGGGAGTAGGGCTCTCAGCTGTAGGACTCATTCTTTTAATGGTCTGCCCATGATCTCCTTCTACCTTCTGTATTCGTCCTGAGATTAAAATATCTCTGGAATTGTTGTTGTCTTTGGTAGTTTTCTCCTACCCCGATTTGGGATGTGCGTTTTCTTATTCTACTTTCTCTAACAATCTAATCTCGTTTGTTTTCCAACTTTTAGACATTCCTCCACATTTGTAGCATCGATGGTACACTTTTTGTTTCCTAGAATCTCTTATGGATTTAATCTTCTAACAAAATATAATATGAACTATTTCATGCACACCATAAAGTAGACTCTTACAGAATGAAAACCCATGTGCCCAATACCCAGCTTGAGAAATAATGTATCACGAATAGCAGTGAAGTGTCCCCTTGTGTATTCATCCTTCATCTCATTTACTTCCCTCCCCTCCCCACTGGAAATGTTTAATGGGATTTGAGACAGGTAGAGAAGTAGGTGAACGTGATCAGTTTGCCATGTTGAGCCAATCACTGCTAAATTCAAAAATTAAAAAATATTTTTCCAAAATAATAGGTATCATTAACATGTCACCTCAGATAATGTTAGTAGTTAGAACTAATGTTAAATGTTCTCTTTGATGTCAAATGTATTAAAACAATATCTATCTTTAGCAATAAAGTTCCAAAATTAGGTAGGTAGGCGTTGAAATGGATGGAAGCTTTGATGCTAGTGACAAAGGATTAGGATCTATGTTAGTTAACTTTGGAAATGAATTTGAGGGAGCTGGCCAGTTAGCTCAGTTGTTTAGAACATGGTGCTTATAACACCAAGGTCCAGGGTTTGATACCCGTACTGGCCAGCTGCAAAAAAAAAAAAAAAAAAAAA